CCAGCCACTCAAAACAAGGCCCAGCCAAGCTGACATACATACAGGGATCAAGAGACTTCCATTTAGAATATTCACCACTATTCTGATACTTCCATTTAGAATATTCACCACTATGCTACTGTTAGCTGCAGGGAGCCAGGTGAGGAGAGAAAACCCAGGCACACCCAAAGCAGCAGGATGGGAGAGCAAGAGAAAGGGGATTAAAAGCCAGGAACCCGGACAGAGGAGCAGTCAGCTGCAGGGATCCAGGTGAGGAGAGAGAACCCACACACGCCCAAAGCAGCAGGGCAGGAGAGCAAGACAAAGGGGATTAAAAGGCCCAGGAACCAGGACAGAGGAGCAGTCAGCCACACGGGTCCAGGTGAGGGGAGAGAACCCAGGCACACCCAAAGCAGCAGTATGGGAGAGTGGGAGAAAGGGGATTAAAAGGCCCAAGAACCTGGAAAGAGGAGCAGTCAGCTGCAGGGACCCAGGTAAGTGTAGTACGAGAGGTTTCCAACAGTGAGACAAACTTAATCTGTTGGTTTGTCCTACTGTGGTGATGTGTTGATGTGATTTTTGAGGCTCAGCCACTGGTGTTTCAAACCCAGTGGGATGCACATGGTACACAAGTATCATCCCAGCTTATAGACTAAGACAGACTAGGAAGAAGGAAAAGACCGTCCACTTCTCAAAGAATTGGCCAGGGAAAATCTTATGAATAGCAAAGAAACACTGTTTGATACATTACCGTGCAACTTTATGAATAGTCTGGTTATGTTAGAAGGGTCTCAAAATAGGACTGGGAAAGAGCTGTATCATCTGAGTAAACCCAGCCTTACTCTTACGGATAAGGTAAAGCTTTCGAGACCTCCATTTGCTGATGTAGCACCACTCAAATTAAAGAGAAACAGCTGCAGACATCCATTAGTCATCGGAACATGGAATGTACAAAGTATGAATCTAGGAAAATTGGAAGTTGTCAAAAATGTAATGGAACGCATAAAGATTGATATCCTTGGCATCAGTGAGCTGAAATGGACTGGTTTTGGCTATTCTGAATCAGACAACCATATGATCTACTATGCCGGGAATGACAGTTTAAAGAGGAATGGCGTGGCATTCATCATCACAAAGGATGTTTCAAGATCTGTCCTGAAGTACAATGCTGTCAGTGATAGGATAATATCCATACGCCTA